ATCCCTCCTTGCTGGGGTGCAGTGAGCAAAGGAACTGAATCACCGGGACCCTTTTTTCCCCTTGCAACAGCTTGACTGATCAGCCGGGAGCTGGGTCATGCTGCTGCTGCTGCTTGCGTCAAGGCTAGGAACACTTTAACAAAAAAGCTCAAGACTGTCTCTTGCTGGAGCTGAACCGTTTTCCTTGCATCTGTTTCTTTATCTCAGCCTCTAATGTGCCTCCTACAGCCATCAGTGACATTTTAGGATACGGTTATTACAGCTTGATGAAAGCTGTTTGAAGAATCACAGGTAGTTGAAAGATGAGGTTTAAATAAATCACTCATGCTCGTTACTGGATGAGCTTTAATTCCTAGGCACAATCCTCTAGTGTCGATGCAGTTGTGTGAGCAGCCCCATGTTCTACAGCTGTACTCACAGCTGTTAGGTTATGCAGAGCAGTTTTGCGAGTGTAGGTATGTAGCACTCGTAACTCCTTATTCCTTTTAAGTAAGGATCACGTACTCTTTAAGTGGATGAAGGTACCAAATGATGCTTAACGAGATAACTACATAGCTGCTTCTCTGATGCTCCTGTTTAGGACTCGGTGCTTAAACACAACCTTGGAAGCTTCAGGGATGAGTGAGAAACGCAGAAATGTGCGTGTTTCAACAAATGTGAAATAGAGGCTGTAAAAGTGTCTGGGCCGCCCTCTGCGAGGGGAGCAGCCGAGAGGTGTGCCTGCTGAGCCGTGCGCTCAGGCTGGGGTTAAAGACAGGTAGCGTGAGGAGCTGCTCGGACTGTGAGTACACTTTCACTTGTAAGTACTGCTCTTACGGGACTGAACAAATTAATTTGCCCGTAATTATTTCCTTGGCCCTTTGAGTGGCTGCAAAGGGCTGAGACGCTGCAGTTGAATGCTGGTGCTCCATGGTCTGCTGCTGGTTGTGCCTCGCTGTAGGACATTGGTACCCTTCGGTAGATCTTCCTTTTCTCACCCCGGCGTGGGTTATCTGTCTCCTCACTCATCGTGGGAGAGTTTTCCCTTGTGATCACACATCTTGAGGCTGCGTCAGTGCTGTCCCTCATCGCTGCTGTTGGTGTCACTGCCGCCTCCGGCTGCTTCGGTTCCTCCCCCCATGTGCCTCTGCCAAGGCAGCTGAGGGGTACTTGAGTAACGCTGAATCCTCAGGAGCAGTTTGGGGAGGGCTCCAGACCCTGTATCACCCTGTCTGTCTTTCCACCCTTTTCAGAAGGAACAGTCCTGTCTGGAGGACATCAAAGGCATGTTTCTGGCTACAAAATCATCTTTTAAATTGTGATGCATTTATGCAATTAAGAACTTGCGTCAAACAAAGCTGATAGGGCTAAGGGTTACCCCAGAGTAGCTCAACGGCTCTTAACGCAGCTTACTAAAAGCCTTGCCTGTTAATCTGAGAACAAGCCCCTCCTGAACACATATGGAAATACTTCAGGGAGACTTATTCTTTTAGGAATGTTTAAAACACCCATAATGTTTTCTGACCAAGGGAGGACTTCAACTATTTAAAACAAAAACAAAAAAACCCCACATTTATTATTGCAGGTTCTGAACAAAACCTTAGGGAATAATTCATGACACCTAAGGAAAAAGAACTGGGTTTTGGAGTCCTGTAAAAAAACCTCCTCACTTCTGATGTGAACTGCTTGTCTGAATTTGTTGAAGGAGACAAGATGCTTTGATAATAGAATGCTCCAGAAAAACTCATGTGCAGTAGCTAAGTGGAAGGAAATGTTATACTAGCCCTCCTTTAAAATTCCTGTAATTACCCGTCTTTAAATATGAAAGCATATATCCATTCTGTAGCAAAATTCATGGAAAAAAAATAGTTCCAGGACTTCAACTCAAACTTGTAGATTCACTTGTAGATTTATACTGAGGGGACATAGGCTGTAAATAATGAAAGGAGTTTTGTTTTACCTACTTGTTAATAACACAGTTGAATAAAAATTAAAGAGTTTTGATGCTGAGATTTTCAGGATAGCCCTTGATCCACAAAATAAGCTCCAGGTTTTCTAAGCCAACATGGAAGGTCTGAATTTTTAGCTACTTTTTGTTGGTTGGTGGTGGTGTTCGTGTACCTCCTCCACTTGTGACAAAAGGCTGTGGAACAATACTTGAAAGACTCTATAACCAGAGCTGTCAACCATCAGTTTGGCACTTTTCCCCACTAACACACTGTGCTTTTGTCTTCCACGTAGAACCCGAACTTCAGTGAAGGAGGAAGACCCTGCCATTCTTATAGCCGAAGTTCTGAGGAGAAAATTTGCCCTAAAGGATGAAGATCTGGCCCTGAAGGAGAAATGATGTTACTGTTATTAAACTCTGTAATCAAAAGAGTTATGCTCCCAGAATTTTCTCCACAGTAGCTGCCTTCCTAAGGATTGAGCCTTTTGCCTCTTTTATTAATTAGAAATGGTTTCTGCACTGGACACTTACTTAGGAAAGACCCTACGGATTTGATGTGTTTTCCATGTATTGGTGTATTTAAGAAGAAACTTTTTAAGAAGATGGAAATTCTTTTCCACCTGTATTTTGATGTTGATTATTGATAAGGATCTTGTAAAAAGAGTGCAATGAGTGCTGCCGGATGATGTTCTTTCTACCTACACTTTTCCTTAGGTTAAATTAAGCATTAACTTATAACAGTCTGTTACAATATAACTAGTTACCAATTTCCAGTATAAATGGATGTCAAACATCCAGGTCTGTCTCCGTTCCGAGTATGGTACAGAGCTACCGAGAATAAGCTAATTAATGCTTCCAGTGTTGACGAGGTTGTTGAATCGCAGTGGTAAAAGGCACCAGCCTAATGGCAGGATGAAACTGCAGTCAATGATCAAACCACTCAGTCATATCGGATGCCCGCTGGTTTTAGTGTGCCCTGGGTATTTCTTCACTCACAAATTATCCCCACAGTTGCATGACAGAATGGCCTTAATTTCTTGCCAGTAATTTAATGTTTCATTAATAGTCCTTGTATTCAGATAATGTATTTTATTTAGCATTCAAAAGGTCTATTTATTGAACCACCAACGCTAAGAGCCAAGCACCCACCACCAGAGCTGCTACCGGATGAAAGGGAAGAAGGAACTTGGCATTGTCTATGGCTACAGTTCTCAGTAACTGAAGAGGTTTCCTTCAGCTGCACATTCTCTGCAATGTTCCTCATGGCTGTAGTTAAAGTATGATTTTTTTCCTTTATATAAAATGGAGCCTTAATAAGACAATGGTTGTCCTCGATGTTATTAAGATGCATATGTCCAAACATGTCAGCAGTGGTGCTTGTATCTTGGGCAGGTTGGGGTGCAGAATTTCAGCTGCTGCAGCTGAAGCATTGGCTGGTGGTGCTGCAGATGAATGAAGCCAGATGCCAAGGATTTTCTTAACCCACCAAGCCCTCAGCCCTTGAAAAATTAAACCATCACGCCCACCTTAAAAGTGAGAGAAAGGCTTGTAATTGCCTCTGCTACCCAGCGAGTGGGAGCAGAAATAGCATTTACAACTTAATCCGTTTTACAGGGAGTTGCCTACAGCTCTTTGTCTCTCTGATGCACATCCTTTCCAACGGATGATACAATCATTCTCATTCTCTGTCCCAACAAGGCTCCTCTGGGTAATGATGTGGTGGGAATACACCTGTCTACAGAGAAGACTGAAAGGTTGGACCAGATGATCCTTGAGGTCCTTTCCAACCTCATATTCTGTGATAAGATGGAGCTGTAACCAAGAGTCCCTGCTCCTGCACACATGCTCTGTATGCCGGCTGGATGCAATTATCAAAATATCAGAGCAGTTAACTTCTGGGTATGACGTAACTCCAGTTTGGTCTATTGTACCAAAATTGTGTCCCAATGGGAAAGTAAAGATAGCTTAAAAGGCAACACTCACAGTGTTAAAGACATACTCAACATTTAAAAAAAAAAAATAAACACAAAAAAACAGGGCAGTTGCTGCTGACAAAGCAGGCTGTTGTTCTGGAGCATGATTGTGGTCGCAGATAGACGCTGCTGTCTGCTGCTCATGACCCCTGGGGTTTTTGAACAGCTGGTCCCTGCGCTTCAAAACAGAGACGATCTAAAGCACGCCTGTCCAAAATGCTACGTCTCCAAAAGCCAGGGATCACACTGTACAATAAGTGCCACTGCTGTTGGGGAAAAGGGGCAGCTGCCACAGGCAGTTAAACCAGTACTGACCCCTTCTTCCTCTGGCCCAGGTGCTCACTGGCTCTGCTCTCCACCTCACCAGGGCCGGACCGACAGCATCAACCTGCGGCTGTAAGCCCTTGTGGGCACACACTGCTCCATTGTGGTGCGCCCCGCCTGTGAAAGAGCTACGAGTCCCACATTGGGATTACGGTTCAGACTTACCCAGAACAGATGCACTGTTACAATTCCTCCTCTTTGGCACAGTCTTCCTCGCTTTAAACCTCTGGTACGTCTGGCAAGAGCCATTAAGTGCTGTGATCCCACCTGCATCTTTCACAGTTACAGACACACAAGCTGAAAAAGATGGACCTCCCCTTCCTGCCCCACACGCTAGCTGTCACGTACAGGGGCTGGCACAACCACAGTCCTGAGAGACATGGAGTGGAGCTCAGCCTAGAAGACCTTTAAATTTGGACTTTCAGGATCCTAAGAAACACAGACGTGTTTGTTAGCAGTGGGCTTTCAGGCCAAACAGCAGCATGCTACGTTAACACCAGGCAGTACTAAAGCCAGGCCTTAGCCACACAGGCTGTAATCATGATTGAAACAGTCAAACCATTACAAACATACTCCTTCAAAATTTTATTTATTAAAGCAAAATCTCAGAGAACAAAGAGGTCCTGCCTGTTGCACAGGCTCTACTGCATATGCTGGCTAGACCATATATGTAGAAACAATGGGTACACTTACCTAATTCTGACCGCTTTCTTACAAAAAAAGGCTTTCCTGAGGCTTCACAAAAGGTCATTAGGCGACCCATTCAAGGTCGCTTGTCAGTGTTTAATCACTGTGTTCCCTTCTGAATCCTGCGTGAACAGTACGTCATAGCACACGTCCAACAGCTGCTCCCCTGGTTTGCCTGGGCTCCTGCTTGCAGCATCGCTGGAACAGCCCTTGTACAGAGAGTTTGGCAGCTGCCTGCGAGAGCTGCCACTGGCCTTGCGAGGAGATGGGCTGGTCTGGCAGCCGTGTGCGATCACTCTGTTCCCCTCCGAATCCTGGGTGAACAACTGCCTGCAGGGACTGCTCGGTCCCGTCTTGCCGGCCCATCGCTCCTTGGCTGAACCAGCACCAGCGTTCTGGCTGCACTCTCTCAGAGGCTGTGCTCTAGCTGTTTTTTTTGGAGATACGTAAAAACCAGCAGCCCAGGTACTGTCTCTCACTACAGTAGGATTTATATTCTCAGTCTCAGAGAAATCAGTGAAAGAATTAACACTGCTCAATCGGTGTGGTTTCTTACTCTGGTTTGCACCAAGTCTTGGTTGGAAACACAGTCCAGTCTTCGCCTCCTCTGGGAGCAGCTGGCCCTCTTTGTTTATCCCGCAGTCTGAAGTTACGCTGCCGCTCGCTGAAACCGTTTCTCCAGCAAATAAATGGGACTCATTTCTGTGAGCGATGGTCCGGTTGCCCTCTGAGTCCTGGGTGAAGCTGAAGCAGCAGCAATCCTCTCCCGCCCCACAGGAGGCTTCACTCCTGCCATGGGACTCCGCTTGTAACAACAAAGAGTCTGGCAAAGGAGTCAGCAAGGCCAGTGCCTTCTGTGCACGAGGCTGGGGCACAAGCTGCACCGTCTCCTCCTCGGCTCTGAAGGACTGTTTCTGGGCTTCCTCCACCTGCGGCAAAGCCAAGATCTTCACAGGGGGGACTGCCAAAGAAATACCTTTTTCTTTACAGTCTTCATTCGGGATGAAAGGAGATGGTCTGGAGTTTTCTTTGTCTTTTCCATCTGAAAACAACATGGACTTGGTTAAAGCCAGAGCTGGCACACACATTTCTCAGGGTTAGAACCACCACTTTACTGCTGCTTCAAGAAGCGCCATACAGACTGTTCTATGCCAGACTAACACTGCCAGCGCCTCATAACGATCTGCATTTGTGCTGCTGAGGCTGCACTGGAACAGCAGCCTAAAATGTTGGAGTAGTTCAAGTAAGTAAGCTTCCCTCAAGTGAGATGCAAGAGCTGCATCCACAACAAACAACTCCACAGTGAAACTTCCACAGCTTGCCTTCATCACCCGATGAAGGCATTGACTCCCACATTTGCTTCTGAAACGATTTAATATAAAAATCTAATACAACTTCTCAGTGTAAGTGAGCTCATCCTCAATTTGAGATAAACTAAAAGAAAAAAAATACAAATAAGAAATACTCCATCATCTTAAATCCTACGGACCCGCTGGATGAACAGCGGCAGCACTCAATGAATCCAAACACACACAATGAATAAGCAAATGCAATCAATCATGGGAATCAAACGGGGGAAAAAAAGAGGAAAGCACAAAAAACATTCAAAGGGAGCAGGAATAACGAATCCAAAGCAAAAACCACCAATGGCCCCGTGGCAACACAAAAATTCCAACAAATAATTAAGTTGTACAATTTATTAACGCTTCCTCTCATCTGCTTATTGCTACATTAGCTTAATGTTCATGAACCAGCCATTACGCACTTACAACATGTAAACAACTACACAATCCTACACTGCTGGTTTCCGCATCCATTTAATTTCTCTCCATATTTGTTAACTTGAGACCCACGGACAAATCCCAGCTTCCTGTATTCCAGAGCACAAAAGCAGCCTCAAACGCACAGAGGTTGTGAGCTGGCTTAATTAGCTTAAACGTTCCAGTTCCCTTGTGACTCTTTCATTGGTTCAGTTAGCATTAAACATTGCATTCTTTAGCAAAGCCTTTGCCCAACCCTTCATAAAAAGCTTTCCTCACTCACCTCCCGCTGACTGCCCTTACAGGGAGGTTGGTTGAACCAAGTAACAGTAATTTTCACTTCCAGCTATAATGTTCTTCCAAGGGTGTTTAACTGACAATTTAAGGTTGCTATCATTTAGAACAAATCCAGCACGTAATGCCCTAGATGCTGCCCGTTACCCAGGCAGGGAGAGCTGCCCACAGGACACCACCAGGCTTGGTACTCCTGCCGAAGTGACATTCCCAACGGGATTGTCTGTTATGTGATACCATCGGGCAACCCACAACTGGACATTTTGTCACCTGGATGGTTTGTATCCGTGCTTGGGCTGAGCCAGGCTTCCCAATGTTCCACTGAAAATTCCAGTTTTGTCAAGAATAAAGCCTGGTGCATTATTTAGCATTCAGATTGCTCTCCAGTGAAGACTGGCTGTGACTGCTCTTACTTAGGCTGTACCCTAACACTGTAAAAGCTGCTTGCCTTTAGGTTAACCATCACAATAAAATCACTTCTGAGAATTTAAACCTTTACCCTCTTCCCTAGAAAATGTATTTTTCTGCCTAGTAAAGCTGCCAAGAAATAATGCGAGATGGGTTTCCTCTTAATGGCCTGAAACTACGTTCCCACAGGGGCACGGCTGTTCCACGTTACCTGTCTGAGCGCTGAAGAAGGCGGAAATGGTGGTTTGCTTGGTGCGGGGCTGAGAGGCTTTTGTCTGTGTGAACGCAACTGAGGAGAGCTTCCTTTCCGGAATTCGACTAGATACTTTTGGCTTGACTATGAGAGACTGGGTAGGAGTGAATCTATGCCATTAAAAACAATTGTACCCTTCTTCCAGCATCGTGGCCTAGTCCCCACCTTTGTTAAACGCTTCAACTCCTCCTGTTCTGCCATCACAGGAGGGCTGAGGTGGGAAGGAGCCCAAGGAGGTCACCTTGTCCAACGCCCTGCACAAGCAGGGTCACCCAGAGCAGGACGCTGAGGACCAAGGCTGCCGTGCTGCACCGTCCTAGCTCTGCTGACCCCCTCACGTCCCTCTCGCACCTCTTGGAATGCTTCTGCAGCACACCCGCCTTGCAGCCTTGCTCTGCCA